TGTGGGCCATCTTGTGACCAACGCTGAGGACGCACGAATGTTAGCCCGTCTCAACATCCTGCAGGCTCAGAGCAAAGACAAAGAACGCTACGACAAGAAGCATCAGGAGGTGACGTACAAGGAAGGTGATTTGGTGTGGGTGTTCACCCCAGTCCGTACCGTTGGCTTATCGGAGAAGTTATTGAAGAGATATTTCGGACCCTATCGAGTGATCAGAAAAATATCGAGTATAAATTATCAAGTAGAAGGCGTGACGAATACTAGGAGAAGACGAAAAACCCAAGATATCGTCCATGTAGTGAGAATGAAGCCCTACCACGACCCTGAAGTCCAAGAACAGATTGCCCAAGGTCATGTGACCGACTAGTAAACAGCGGGACGCTGTTTCTCTTGTGGAGGGAGTGATGTCAGGAGGACAGAGTTTCCTGGTATTCCCCCTTATCTGGACCGACCGGTCGGGGTAAACAGTGGCGTCACGTGGAAGGAGGATATATCTCAGTTCTCCCCTCTTGCTCTAACGGCTGGGTCGATTTGGCTCATGTAAATAGTAACTCTTATTTTATATTTAAAATCTCTCATATAACTCATTAAATAAATATTTAAAGTAATTCGAAGGCCTAGTTAATTATTTTTCATCGCGACAATATATTTTTGATCTTAAAAATAAGTAACATAACGCAGAATCTAAAATTACATATAATCGAGACACCATTGCCTTTTGTCATATTATCCTTTAACTCCATAAAACGATTTCTACTAATTATAAACTGTCCTCAGCTACTACTGTATCAAGATAATGTACCTCTACCAACTACCTTATACAAATTTCCCTCGTGCAAGCAACACTTGTCCCATGGACAGGTTAATACAACTGTCCCATTTACTAAATTTTCCCCTCCTATAACGGGTTGCTTACACGTGGTGAACTCCAACATTCTTATTTAACCTCATTATAATGTTCCTAATCCCATTTTCAACGCCCCTATGTCCTTTTCTTTCATATCTTTGCATATCTTTCATATCTGTGCATCAATTTGCACCCGATTTCGCCGACAACAAAAAAACAACTATCTTTCCCAAAACAAGTTAAAATTAAAAATCTCATCAACTACCACGCCAGTAGCAAAATTAAGTTACAGCCTTCCAAAACTATTCCAATCGTTAACTTCAAACATAGATACACTCCCTCGTACCTTCCTTATACACGCATAGTTAAATATCGACAAATCGCTCTCAACAAAATAAACAATTCCCTCTCTCATCACTTTCTCCAATTGGCAACAAATTTTTAGTGCGCGACTTCACACCCAAATCTAATTTCGAGCCACACAAGCTTTATTACGTCGCCCTACTAAACACACACACAAAAAATTATTTTTTTCACATTAAACGTGTCATATCCACTAACAATATAAAAATTATCGATATGTTCGTACAACCAGCACCCATGACTTTAGTAAATTTGTTATTCTTAGTAAAACAGATTAGATTTTGTACAAAACAAAGACTTCACGTGACACCTTTTCATTTACAATTTTTTCGCTTCGTGTCACAAAGCTACACCACAAAACTCTTTCACTTTTCAGGCCAAAGACGCCTTCATCACGCCTGTGACACTTTTAACCACACATTGTCCACGTCGATAGTCGCAATTTAATTCAATTCTAACCCGATATCATTGAATAACATTTTTACTAAGTCCGCCAAAAACCATTCGATTTAATATCAACAGATACAATATCCGAATTTTCGAAATACAAACACAAATCGAACAAATGCTTGAGCACAGTATAATTACAACCTCTGTATCTCCCTATGTCAATCCCATAACGCTTGTCACCAAACGTGACAAATCAAAACGCTTTTGCGTTTATAATTATAGAAATAATATCTCCGAGCGTAGTCTGAATTAACAAATCCAATAAGTTGGAAGAAAACAAGCAGCCCCACAAAGGGCCTCTGACCCAAATAAATATGCCCGCCACCGCCGGAAATCGCTAATAATAAATTCGAAGGGAGATGAGCAAACAAACAGCCGACATCTTGTTACGGCCCGTCGCCACCCCGATGTCACTCTAATGGATTTTCGCTACCTATTAAATTAAATATTAGTGCGTGCCTTTTTACTATACATCGTTCTAATCCCTAACCAATTTCTACGCCGATATCCCGTTTAGCTACTAATAACTTGCTTAACACGTTATTTTACATTTACTAACAAATCTGTTCACTAACATTCTCTCGCCCTCGATTAACTTGTCTACTTAACATCGACACTTAGAACCAAGGACAACATTTTACCTAAAAATCACACACACCCACACATGTTAAAAAAAAAAAAAAAAACAACAACAACAACCCTTTATCGGTTAGAATAGATCGCCGTGTTTCTCCTGCACACACAGAATAAATGCCGCTTTAGGAAGAATCACGTTTTCACCTAAACGTGGCGCAGGGAACAAAAAATCGACAACATTAGGACTCAGTAAGTTTCACAGTTAGAAACAATGTGATCCACGAGTCACGTCAAACATAAAACAAATTCGATAAGTTAGAAAAACTTAGGCCAACAAGACCAAAGATATCAATCGAGGACAATTTAAAGCTCTCTCCACCCATCCTAAAAAACAGGAACATACATTACCTTTGGCCTACAACTTTCCATTCTCTCACGATATATAATTTCTATGTATAATCTTACTTGCTCTTCTTTCTCGATGAACATTTTTTTAAATTTTCATCTTAATATCTTGTATATAATCATTATATAGCTCTTATAATTGTTTTTTTTACGTCAACCAATCAGTTTAGATTATTGTCATTTTATTTTATTTTTCTATACCAAAACTTATTTACTTTTGCTTTATGACTCTATTCTATAATCAACTTTATATTTTATCTTTCATATCTAATAATCTCAAGTTTATATTTCATGTTTATATCACTAATTTGCCTTTTGTCATTTTATATTTTTTCTCACTTTATAAATTAGATGTTATTTACATTGTCTCATCTTCCGCTACCATGTCAATGCTATCGAGTATATTATTGCTCATTATTAATTTTCATTTAATATTTTCACTTTCTATTACCCCTTATATACTGCTGTAGTGTGTTAATCTTTGTATCATGTCATCACTATTTTTACTTTTTTTTTAAGATTACTTTGCATTTAACTTCGCAATTCTATTTTCGATTTTTTAAATCCTTTAACGCTATATGCAAAGCCTTAATTTCGCAATTTCACATCTCAATGATGTATTCTTTTATAATCAAACTAAAAATCATGATTAAAAACAGGGCAATCTTCAATAACCTCTTAAACAACCACTTTAAAGGTTACTTCTTAATAAATACTAACCCTTTTCCGCAGGAACTTTTAACTCCTTCGCAGGCTAGACTTGACCTACTTTGATTTCGTAATTAACAATCTTGACACACCGTCCCCCAGATTTACCTATCCCTACTTCTGGCTTGGATACGTGCAAATTGTATTTTTTTATATATTCCAGGGCACTCTCATGCCACACGCTGGCACATCTTTTTTTTTTTTATTTTACTCTTTTTCTCGCTAAGCCCCTGACGACTCCAATTAAAACTTTGATTTCTGGTCACTGATCTTCGCCCTCATTTATCCTGCATGCGTACGTCTTAACGACTAATTACTAAAACCCATAACAATCCCCCTTATCTTACTTTTCGATTGTGGTACTGTAACTTTATTCGGTCCTTAAATTTACATGTGAAACATGGCCTAGGTTCTCCGCGCCGTGCACATTAAATGGTTTGGGACTTGAGTCAAAGTGACATTGCCTCAACCAAGTAATAACTAACCCCTCAACCCTTTCTAACGCCCATCACGAAGAAATCATGATTTTCCCATCCAATCGTTTTTATTTTCACCTATAATCATTATATGTTCTCTATTAAATATTTTATTCATATTTTTATTTTCACTTGTATGTTTAATATTAGTTGTTTATGCTTTATTATCTCTTATGGATATATAGAAATTAACCCCATGTTATATACCAACTCATTTCAATTAATTTTTAAAAAATTACTTCCTTAATAACAGTCTTCCTATTCCGCTCTCTTAAATCGCTCCATATGAACCCTCTCACATCCGGGGCCATCTGTGATGATTTAAGACCATGGAATTGTTGTAAATAGTCTAGATATCTACTACCACATGTTCCACCCCATGACTGTATATAACTTCTTATGTACTGCAAATAGAAAGCCTCAACTAACATCAATCTGTACCGCGTAAGAATCTAATAAAGTATAGCAACTGTACAGATAGAAGGAAGGGAGACTAACAGGAGAAAATTAAGGTTAAAACTAATCAGGCTTAGGACAGAAAGTAGCAGCAAGACATAGGAAGTAGGCTTAAAGCGGGTACAATTATTAATAACTTGTACAGTCAATACTTCCTGACAAGGCCGGACGTATCTGGTGACCGCAGAAGTTATAAAAGTTGAGAGACGCCCAAATTTCCGGGGCAGGACCGGCCGTATTTGATAACCGCGGAAGTTATAAGAGTCGAACTAACACCCAATACTTCCTGACAAGATCGGGCGTGTCTTCCGACAAAGACCTCAGTAAGGACCAATTAGAAAGAATTACCTAAATAGGTCAACCAATAAAAAAAGGTCATGTGACACCTTTCGACCAATGGGAAAGAAGACAGGTCGTGGTGTTAAATCGAGAAGCAAGAATTGTCAGTCTACGCTTGGCTCTCAACAAGGTAACACTTGCTCTAAAGATCTCCCTCTCCCCTCATCCCATTCCTTCTTGACGTCAGACGCTTTTTAGTGGAATCTCTGTTTGTTTATTTCACCTTTGGCCCAGCTGTGTCGCCTTCCACCACGACTGCACGGTAGAGTTGACATCGAGGTTCGTCTAGCATCAGGTAACACTGGTCCCAGAGGTCCCAAGATATCACATATATAGGGATAAAAATATAAATGAGTTTTAAAAATTGTAAAAAAAAATAATGCATCGGCCGGGAATCTCGAACCCGGGCTGCCCGCGTGGCAGGCGAGCATTCTACCACTGAACCACCGATGCTTATAAGAAATGGCCATATTTGGGTATTTATTCCATTCACAAAAGCAAACGATGACAGAATTGATTGTTGATGACTCTGATACTTGTATATTTTAATAATAATAAATAATAATAAGGCATATCCTGGCACGAGGACATGAGCTTTTTAGATGGCAGATTTTTAGAGCGCCATCTAGTGGAACAGAAATCAACTGATCGTTGATTTAGCCTGTTCCCTGATATTTGGCCAAACCATTTTCTTGATAAATCAAGATTAGGTATAAATCAACGTGTAGTTGATTTCTGTTCCACTAGATGGCGCTCTGTCATCTAAAAAGCACATGTGCTCCAGGTCAGGATATGCCTTCATATTTTTTATATCAACACCTGTCCTTTTTATTTATTTTTTTTTCTATTAATTTTTCACATATTATTAAATGTATATATATTTTTTGGATACAAGTTTGACTTCACTCTAAGTGTACCTTTTATTGTTTTCAATAAATACGTATTTTAAAAATATTCTCAGTAAATATTAGTTTACAATTAAATTTATAAATTAATTGCCATCTATCGATTATATATGTATCAGATAAATTTTTTGGCAATATATTTCTTTTTGAAAGATCAAATATTATATCTACATTTCAGTAAGAGCTGTAGAAATAATTTTTGATGTTTTTTCAAAAATAAACACATTGCCAGTAAATTTATTTGTTATATATTTTATAAATAAAAATAATAGTATAAAGTAAATTTATAAAGTAAATTTCCACTGCTATATATTTCTATAAATGTATTTTAGAATATATTAATACAGTAGAACTTGGATAATTCGAACTTCTTTAATTCGAAAACCTCTTTAATTCGAATATTTTCTTGGTCCCTAGAAGCCTTAAGCCTTTATTCAAAACATCTTTAATTCGAATTTTTGGATAATTCGAATTTTTTTACGGTCCCTTGGGGTTCGAATTATCCAAGTTCGACTGTATTACAAATTTATATTATTTTAATGAAGCGCTCTCTTTAATTAATATTTAATAACTAAATATTGAAAGTGGGTTGTAAATATATATGAGTTTGTGGACATTTTATATCTTTCATTTAACTTGTTTTCTGTGTTTAGATGCATGAGAATATGAAGAATATTCATTTTAATTTTTATACAAATTCTTTTTTAAATAATTATTTCAATTTATGCAAATATTTTAACCGTAATTATTATACATAGTAAATGTTTTAATTATGTTTTTTCGTTCTCTAAACTATATAATACATACCATAAACTATTATAAAAAGAAAATTACCAAGGATGAGTATCTTATATTTAATGTTCACGTTTCAAGCTTTCGGGTATTAACGACCATTCTACAGGAATAAAAACTAAAGAATAAATCTAGATGGATCAACTGGTTATAAACATACATATATAATATTTACATACCTGTTTTCAAAATTAGAATTATTTAAAAATTTTATATACAATTAGATGTAAATGAGGAGAATTAATAGTAACTATTTTAAACAAATGCTAAACAATTAAGATAACTATTGCGATAGGTTAATTCTGATTATGAAATAAACTAGGAATTAGTATTCTGAATTAAAATATTGTAGACATTGGGGATATCTATATGCCTGTTAATGCTATTAAATTTTAGGGATAATAATGCTTCAAGAATCAGTCTTTTGTATTTTTATTTTTGTAGAAGAGGCGTTTATACCCGAAATCTTGAAACGTAAAGCATTAAATATAAGAAACTCATCCTTGGTGATTTTATTTTTCTTTTTCTAATAATTATCGAAGGATTTTAAGTCGATAAACCATTAACTATATAATTCCGTATACTCGGCCCTAAATGCATATATGTAAAATGTTTACTATTAAAAATTATTATAGATAAGATATAATATCAAATTTTATTTTTTCGTGAAAAATCAATAATGTAGTATTGAATGTTCAACAATGAAAAATGAATATTTGTAAAATTATTAAATAAAGAAATAATTAAAATAAAAACATAAAGCCTCCAGGGAAAAGTTTCTTTTAAAAATATTTTTTATTTAAAAAATATATCGAGCTTTCGGGCAAGTACGTCCTTCTACGGGAGAAAATGCTTTATATGATTAATACGCCAATAAAATATGATTTAAAATTAAATAAAGTCCATTCACTGTTTACATTTGTTTTAAGGCATGATCAACGCGGGCTTCTGTTGCGCGTGCTTCACTTGGGGGTTATGGGCTGGGCTCAGGGAATATAATGTTATAAATTTCCGGAATATCTATTCTTCTGTTAATGCTATTGTGCTTTCTGGATATGATGGATTCTATTATAAGTCTCTGTAGTCTCTATTGAGGATGTTGGAGTATTGGGTCTTTGGTTCTGATAGGGAGAAGGAATGGCCCGTTTCTCTTATATGTTGGTATACTAAAGATCTACTGTCTTGATTATCGATATTTCGTTTATGTGTTCTGATACTCTTATATTTAAATGTCTGCCAGTTTCGCCGACATATTTGGTTTTGCATTCGTTGCATTCCATGGAGTATATGGCATTCTTAATATTGGAAGGATAATCAATGGTATTGTTCTTTGTTATGGGGTTTCTTAGTAACGAATTTAAATTAGGTGAGTTTCTGAAAAAGGTTTTGATTCCAAATTTCTTCAGATGGCGGGCTATAGAAATAGATACTGGTGAATAGGGAATACTGCTAATAGATTTATAGATTGGGGAATTCCGAATTTCAGAGGGGCTATAGAAATGTCTTAGAATAAATGATAAAGGATATTGAAAAGTCTTTCGATTTCTTATAATATTCTGAGTTTCTTCTGTTTTAAAGGTTTGAAGTGAGCAATGGCTATGGATACGTTTAGTTAAGGTCTTTACGGTATTGATTTTATGGCTGAGTGGGCAGTAGGAGGAAAGACGGATATAGTCGGGGTTGAAGGATGGCTTATAATAAACATTTGTTTAAATTTATTTAATTCATTTTAATATTAATTCAAGGGATTATTTTAAAGAAATGATTATTATAATTCACAGACAACGAGCTATATACAATGTAAATTGCTTTCTATATACATATGCACAGTATATTATTATGGTATAATAAACTTTAGAGTTAAAAATAATAATAATTTATTATATATATATAATGATTTTTTTCCGGAATGAAATTTATCTATAAAAGCATAGGGCGCCTCTTCCGTCAAATTAAATATATGGCGTCTAGTTTTGACGTTTAATTTGACGAGAGAGACGCCCTATGCTTCTATGTAAATATAGATATTTAGTTATAAAATTATATTATGTAACATATAAGAACAAATAATAAAAGCTGTAACTATAAGAGTGGTATATACCAAGACTATATATTTTTTTCAAATTGAAAAATAAGTGTGTCAAATAAATAATGACGGTATACCTATAAAAAGAAACATTTCACCTAACTGTTAGATAGTTACGTGCAGTATATGCTCCGTGAGCGAGTAGCACGTTGTGACTTTTTAAAAGTTAAATAATTTATTACCGCTTGCTGTTCGTGCCGAATCATATCAGTAAAGTGCACGCACCTTGTGTTATTAAATAGCTCATTTTTTAGAATATTTTGACTTAAAGTCATATCTCATTCATTTCCATGACGATTATAATATTAATAAATCTGAATCTTCAATCAAAATATTCTATTTTTTAATAAATATAATAATTATATTCATATAAAATATTTGGGTTGGCCGAATATCATGGAATAGGCTAATTCAACGTTTAGTTGATTTCTGTTCCACTATATGGCGCTCTGCCTTCTAAAAAGCACGTGCTCGTGGTCAAGATATGCCTTTTTTGATATCGACCTTTTTTATTATTTCATTTTTAAAATTATTTTTTCACACACACATAGTATATATAAGTTCGAATATTTATATGTAAAATTCATAAAACATTATTTAATATATTTATTATTAATATATTTATCAAATTCACGTATATTTTAAGTATGCCTTTCTATATACATATGGATATTAGCTTTTAAAACTAATAATCTTGAAAATTAAAAAGTACAAATATAAACAACAATTTAAAAGTAGAAATATATATTAAACCATAAACTTATACAGCGTAAATTACCAAACGATATTACAAGAGAAGGCTAGAAAATGGCAGGCAATCATTAAATAGACATCGTCTGCATAGTTGTAAAAGACATCCCGTCTCTCAGGTTACCTCTGGAACTTCATCCATTATTGACCTCTTTCTCTGTTCGCATTCTTTCTTACACTATATGTACCTGCAATTATCTCTGATGGATTAAATGAAAACATTTGAGATATTCTATTTTAAAATATACATTTTTGCCGCTACTATTTTCTATTTCATATTATCACTTAAAAAAAAAAAGAAAATTTTATTAGCGCCTCATCGCCTGAAAACAATTCGAAATACGGAAATATCTCATACTGAAATGTTGATATGGGGAAATGTTTGTCTTATTTAGTATATGGGAGATAGGAATGTTCTAATAAATTAAAAATATGATTTAATTTTAATTTTTGTTTCTTTATAGATTAATTTCATAGTTTTCTTCTGCATAAAAATTCGTTATAGATTTTTATCTATTTAAAGTAAAGTTAAAATTTTGAAATTATCATTCATATTAAAACTTTGAAGTTAAAATCCCTTACAATACCTAACTTAATATGTTTATATATGTATATATAACATATTGTCTCTCTAAATACATAGGAATATATGTTTATTTACAAGGTGGTCAGAACTAAGTAACAATATATCCAGTGAACAGTGTTTTTGATATATATTTTGTAATAATATTGTAGCGTAGAAATCAAGTCTTGGAATATATTAAGATGTCAAAGTATTTATTGATGGCGCCAGTACCACTATTCGGCAATTATCAGCATAACTATATACAGCTAGAGAACTTGAACAATCAAGCTAAGGAACACGATAGATGATTTTACAAATATAGAGTAATCTGTTTTAAATATTTTATTGAATAATT